GTGTGTGTGTGTGTGTGTGTGTGTGTGTGTGTGTGAGAGAGAGAGAGAGAGAGAGAGAGAGAGGGAGAGCGAGAGAGTGAGAGAGCAACTTCTTGGCAAACTTTCCATTTTTATTGCGGGCGTAGCCGCAACAGGTGCCCTAGTCTTAGTCACTTCTGCTCTTCGCGTAGGATGTTCGTCCTTAAAGTTGGATGGCTGCGCAGGAGCAACGACAGAAAATATGTCTTTCAGTTCCTGACAGGTGCCTGTTCTGCTGTTGCTATGTCTGGTGCTAATCAGAACGCGAAGGCGTCGCATCGTCATATGGTTGTGATGACGCATGCTATGGAGGACTTGTTTTCGTCTGTTGCCTTTCTTCCAGCAGAATTCAAGCTTCACCCGTCTGGACATGGAGTTGATGCAGGTAATCATTTCGCAAGTCCTACTGAAGGTGCTGGCAGATTATGAGTCCTCTGTTTTCTTCTTTCAAGGAGCCTTTGCTCGAGTATTCCTGGGAATATTTTTGACTATCGGCCCAAGGCATTAGTTGCAGTAAGTCTGCAGATTCGTCAGATGGAACAAGAACATGTATTAAGATGCATCATGTGTGCATGACACCCCAGCCCCAGTTGCTTGTACCTATTTGTGTGTCTGCCTGTCAGTTCATTCTTCTGTATGTTTCCCCATGCGCCTGTCCGTATATCCATCTGTCTGTCCGTCCATCCACCTTCTTGTTTGCCTGATCCCCTGCCCCTCTTGTCTGTCGGCACGTGTGTCTGTGCACCTGCACATCCACCTGCCTGCCTGTATGTGGACTGTCCACATCCCATCATCCCTCCCTCTGTCCATTCCTCCCTCCCTTCCCGTTCATCCAGCCACCAGGCGGCTGTCTGCACGCCTGCCCACTCTCCGCCCATCCGTTCGTCTGTCCATCTGCCTGTCTGCCCGTGCTTTCCCACCATTTCCTTTGCTACTGTTAATGATGACCCCCACTACGTGATCAACAGGACTTTGAGCAGTGATCTGGAAGCGAAATTACAGAGCTGGCATGATAAGTACCTCCACCTGGTGAGATATCTGGGGTGTTATTTTTATGAAAGAGAACAAGCTTCTGCTTTAAATTCATATTCATCGTCAGGCATTGTTCTCACAAGGGTTGTTGCTCTGACTGTTCATCCCATTGCTGATATTGGTTGTCTGGTGTTGATTGGAATTTGACGTCCTTCAATGCAGAGGTTACTGGTCCTGGTTTGGATATTGCGCTCATCAAGCGAGTCTATTCAGCCTTATGGCAGCTGTGTGAACCTGAGGTGAGAGTCTCCCTTCACTTCTTTAGAGTTTCTTGGGTGTCTTTATACAATGTGCAGTAACCCTGTTCATAAGTAGCCTGGGGCCCAGAACTCAGCCCCAGGCAACGCAGACCTGAGATGGTCTGCGCTGGGCTGTGTGACCAAGACACGCCCAGGCCTGAGTCTGTCGCGAATGGCTGTGTGACCGAACGCTGCGCACAGGAAATTCAAGGGTCAAAGTCAACTGTAGAGTCAAAGGTACCGCACTCAGATCCTTGGTTGGATACACTCACTTGTTGTGCGCAGGTACCCAGACAGCATCCAGGCCGGAGGGCATTCGGTTTCAGACCAATCTGGGCCCTCGTTTGCATTGAGATCTGGACGGTTGAGGGATGCAGCATCCGGGGTCCACCCGGTGTCAATGCTACATAAGGGAATTCGGTTTCAGACCAATCTGGGCCCTCGTTTGCATTGAGATCTGGACAGTTGAGGGATGCAGCATCCAGGGTCCAGACCCGGCGTCAATGCTACATAAGCGCTGACTTCCTGGCTTTGACATTCATTCTGTCTTGCGTCAATGCTGACTTCACGCGTTGACGACGCGACGCTGGCTTGACGCTGCGACACTGGTGGACGCTGGCTTTGTGCTGGCATTTGGGAGATTTGCGGCGATGCGCTGCTAGCTCGGCATGGTGGCTGGCTGGCTACTGTCTTCAAGGCATGCTGACGTGGCAGCTGCCACGCGTTGTTGCTGACATGGCTGCTGCCACGTGTTCTTTTGCTGGGACTACATGACCGGCACTGCTGTTCTGTTTCATCGTCACTTCAGGAGGAGATCAGGACTGTGGAGAGATCGTGGATACGTACCTGGTTGTCTTCATGTCGATATTGCTCCAGCGCTGATGAGGGACCTGATTAGACGTGCCACGTGGCACATTGTTGTAGGACTTCGGACATGTGTTCAGACTATTGATTATTTGAGGTGGCGATCGAGGAGGGAGCCCGAAGCAGGAGTGGGCATTGTACTATTATTCCTCTCCTTTGTCTAATCTCCCTCCTCTCTCCTTCGTCTGTGTATGATTATCCCATCTCATTCTTTCTGGACATGATTTCGATTATTGGTAATTATCAGCGGCTTGATATTTTGGGCTTACGTTGTCGACAAGTGTCTTCACGATCTGGGTTCATTGCAATTTGGTATCAGAGCAATACTGTTACGGACTTCGCCAGGGCTCAATCCCTGGTCTATCTTTTTGCTGTTTCGGCTGCATCCCGTTTTCGGCCTGGCACCCTTTTTCCAAACCCCTCCTTTGGTACCGTAGGATTTTGGACAACTGGCGCCATGCTGCAATTCGGGCGCCACTTT